CAGCTGTGACCATAAGAAAGCTCTATAATGTAAAATAACATTGTTTTAAAAAATCCTGCTACCATGTAAAGAGCAATATAATTACATTCGAAAAAAGACTGGAAATGACGCTCCATGAAAATATAATTTTTAATAAATTAGGAAGAGTATAAGGTTATATGAGATTTGTTCGCTCTATTTCGTCTAAGTTGATGAAGGGCAAGTAGTCGAATCTTCCCATAATGATAAGAGCAGACAGTAAATTTCCATTGAAGTTCACAGAGCAAATGCTTCCTAAAAGGTATTCTAAGTCAGAGTGGACTGCAATTTCGTCCTATCGATACCCACAGTCGGGACTCGGACCATGAAAATAAAGCGTATAATCTCAACAGTACAGGATGGCACGATTGTCCTTGGGGCATAGGGCAGGTTTTAAATTCAAGAAAGGCTAGACATTTTCCATATCACATTTTATGGTTGGATTGTCGATGAGGCAAAATAGTATATTATATAAAAATCGACTGCATAACTTAATTTCCGTTTGTAAGTAGAGTTTTGAAAATACCAATAAATCAGATAATTGAGATATATGAGATTAATAATTTCTATTCTAAATGCCAAGTCTATGACTTGCTATGCCCTATTCTCTTGTGCCAACCCACAATTGTTGTGGTTTAACAGTGAACCTAATCAAAGCAAGCAGTACCACAATATTTGTGGGTTGGCACACAAGAGACTATGGCATAGAACGTTATAAACTTGGTATTAGGGAGACCAGAGATATTGGATGACAGTAGGTATATTTTATCATAGACGTGGTCCAACAAGCAAAGGCTTGATAATGACTCAGGGGCTTTAGTCTCAAGTTAGTTTCCCAGAGGCAGAGTGTGGAAAATAAAGACTCAAGTAGCACAGATGGGGTTGAGTGAAATACTTGAACCGGGAAGATAGCAGATTGATCACATAAGGCAAGAGGGAGACTCTGGTAAGACCTAGGAAAGGAGGAATGCGTAATATTATGACAGACTCTGATCAACATTCCCCGCACAAGGATGAAAGGGGGTGAGAATGCCAGCGTTGAATGTGGAGGAAAGCCGCTCAAAAGGGCACACCATACCACCTTTAAATAAGCAAGTAAAAGTTGTGATAGTGAATGCGTGATACGAGGATATAGGATTGGTGATTAGCCCAGAGGAAAAAGAGAGAAACTCCGATTGTTCAGCAGACAATTAGTCAAAGGATCGGCCTCACTTGTCTCTTTGACGAGTTGTAATGTGGTGCTAAGAATAGCAAGACTCACTGACGATGCCGGCGAAACGTCTGGAAATGTACCACGTCCACAATCCGACTTTGGAAATGATCATGCATAAAATGGACTCCGGACTAGGTGCGTTCCCCTAAGTCTTCCTACCAATATGACCAAGATGCGAAAACAAGGTCAAACAACTTATAAATAATTTTGCTTGATCAACACTCGCACAACAGAATGTGATATAGAAAAATGCATGGCCCTCCTTGGAATTCGTACCTGCCCTTTGGCCCACGATAACCCGTGCCAATGTGTCGAGATTATACGCTACTGTCAGCGTTCGAATTCCGCTGGAAGTGTTGATAAGACCTAGGCAAGGTCTAAACTACAGTCCATTTCAGCCGGGATTAGAATACAATTTGGAAAACAAAGCTTTGCGAAATTCAATTGAAACCTAAGGTCTAATCATATCAGCGTTGGAAAAGTTAACTACGAATCCTACATCACCTTAAGGGCAATAGGATGAGCACATCTCATATGTTTAATTTATTGGTAGTCTCGAAACCCTAATTACAAACGGAAAATGTATATAAGGTTGTCTATGGATTAATAATCAGCCCCATATATCCCTCATACAAGAAATTTCGTAAAGAGTAGTCAAGCGAAATTTAACAATAGTTACTTATGATGTACAAACACACTCAAATATCTGAACGAATAGTATAGCGGCTAGTGTAAGTCGACCTCTAAAAATAATTATAAGTAGTTGACAATGGCCCTAACGTATTATATCTAAGAATAATAGAGTCAGTGCTGTAGGTAAAAAGGAAAGAAAGAACTTACTCAATCCTTGATGTCCACCAATATTAGGGCCGAAGCTGAAAGGTTGGCTATCAAATAGAGATGATGGGTCATTGATAGTCTTAGATGCTGAGGAAGAGGGTGTCAAACGGAGAGGGTCATCTGGGCTAGAATAAAGGACTTTGGAAGGGGGCCTAAACGACACAGGGTATTCGTGACAAGCTAGCGCTCGTTTATTGCTCGACCCCGCCGGCTTATTAACACCGGAGAAGGACATCCTACAAGAAGCATCTGGCAGTACGGGGGCTTGAGCATCAGACCGTATAATAGGACGTGAGTACGCATGACAATCTGCCTCAGGAGATACATGCATGGTCGAATCTTTGGCAAGATGATATGAAGACAGCGAAGGCAAAGCAGTTAGCTGGCCTGCCTCGATTCGATGTCGGGCTGTGAGAAGTCGGTCCAAATGGTGCTGCCGGTAGCTGCTCAGATCCTCATCTGGAGGAATAAGAGGACCCTGAATACTTGCTCCTAATAGAGGCGGAATAAAAAAGAAGGCATAGAAAGAAGCCATGAAACAATGAGAGCTGTAAATGAAAATATAGGAATATTATTTTTTATTGAAGAATACGAGTATTCCTCGGCCAAGTGGATCAAGAGCTATTTGAAAATAAAGGACTGATGCACAAATGTGATAAAATAACTTCCTTTTATTTGGATAAATGCTTAGGCTATCAGGTAATTTTAGAGGTCCTTTATAAAGATAAAGGTGTGTCATTTCCACACCTGATTATTTTTACTCAAAAAATGTTTTAGGTTTTCTATAAATGAACTACCGGCTAAATAAAACCACAAAACCGGATTACTGAATTATTCAATTATCTGCATGGGACAACTGGCATAATCCACTTATTATTTAGTGTTCAGCAAAATGAGAGCGAAAATAGCCGCAAAAATATATGTATGACGTTTTTTGGACGTATCTGAAATAGACTGTTTGGTCAGAGTCGAATTTCGATCTGGTTAGAAAAAATCAGCCTTTTATCTGTATGCTCATTTCTCTCTTTTCAATGACTCTTTTAAATCTTTTTTTCGCTATAAGATGGGATGTTTAAAGCTTAATTTAATTTAATTGAAATTTTTCATAGCTAGATATTGGTATTTCTAGAATCAGCGAAGAAAAGTTGAGTTTAGAGGAATCTCTTGTTTCATAATTGTTGATCTTAATTCAATTTTGAGTGAGTATTTGGCAAAGAGATTCAAAGGTCAATCTCATCAGAAGACGATGGTGGAGTAATACTGAAGATTCATCGAAACCCAATTACTTTTCGTATTACTTGAGAATAATTATCCCCTGGGTCAGATTCAAAATACCATTAGATTAATAATGAATACATTGTTGAATGGTTAATGTTTAAGGAGAGATGAGAAGACTTTTTCATACGTTTTCTTTTTGCCTTCGTACATTCTCTCCAAGAATATGGGCGAACTAGTAAGGAAGTGGAGAATAAGAACAGTTTCCTAGGAAGTCAGGACACTTTCTTCAGTTATGTCAATTTTAGGGAGAAATTTGACCCATAATCCAGATCGGGTTGCTATAATATAATGTGCTCATGTGATTGCCTTTATACTGGAGATATTTGTCGTCCCATTCGACAAAGTATTACTGAGCACAAAAGCGCTTACAGTTGTTAGTTTTTTAAAATCGGAGCTGGCTGAATACAAGGCCAAAACTGGACATGAGCATGAATGGTCTCAAACTTGTAGTTTTGCTGAGTATGGT